AAAGGACCACATTTTTCTGCTTTACAATGCTCAGCTCTAAATTCAGCAAGCTAGTGGCTGAGTTTTATGATATGCCAAGCCCTGGTCACATTTTGAGCTTTTAGTCTTCAGAATACCTAAAAATAGCATTGCATGTATGTATTTGTGTTTACACACACACACACACACACACACACACACACGCATGCACACATGCAGAGTCTCTATTTTACTCTCTCCAAATTCCGTTCCTTCCTGCATCTTGTGAGAATCTTTGTAGTTGGATATTCAGTTCTGAAATGTTCTGTTATATCATACCATGCTGCCCAATCTACATATGTGTGGCTCATCTAACCATTATTATCTAATATTGATGATAAGGCAGGGGAAAGCTGTACTTTCTGTCTCATTTGTCTGCATTTAAAAAAAAAACTTGCCTATTTTGAACCACAGCCTGGCTAATCCTGATGCAAATCAGTCACACTCTCCTGCCTCTTCCTTTGCTTACAGTTAGCAGTCCTCTGCCCACAATTCATTTTTCTGCTTTCTAGACAGAACCCCAAATCAGCAGTTACTCCAACACAAACCCATATATTTCTTGAGCAGACAATAGAATGGAAATTGAATTTAAGCAAAGGAAAAGAATAGCAGCAGCCCCATGTGTAGTTTAATAACTCTAACATGTTTATTTTTGCTTTAATCTTGTCACCAAGGGTGAAGTTTTAGCTGTTCACTTTGTACACAACATGGAATTAGTGATTGCATGAACACAGTACTCTCTACAATGCCAACTGCACTCAGCACACATCAACAGATCAAATGACATGCCATGCATCTTGAGTGACAGCCACCTACTCTGAGCTCCACCAAAATGTCACTGCAGCATTGCTTCTAATGTCTCTTAGAGATAGGTCTAAACTAACAGTAATGAAAACCTCTGGAGTTCGAGTGCACTGAGGTTTCAGCAAGGTTTTGTTGTACAGATGGATATTAGGGACTAACCTGCCAAAAACCTGGTTGATTTGAGCAGTCCTTTTGACCTGCAATTTGGACCTGTGGCTTAATTATTAAACACAACATCAAGATTCTTAAAACATTGCTGATAAATTATGGATTATGTACCGTTTGATAAACAACCTCTTGTGATGTTTAAAATAGCAAGGGAAAAATTAGCAAGGGAAAAATTTCCGATGGGAAAAATTCATGAGGTCAAATGCATATAAATCACAGCATACACAAAGCCATTGTTTCTAAAGTAAGGACAGCTATGAGATCAGTACTTGGGAGCTATGGAAAATGACTCAATTTGTGGTATTTCTTTCTTCTTTTCCCTTCTCTTCTTCACCCCATCCCTTCCTCCTTTCCTTTCTTAAAAAACTGAGCCTCACCTCTGGTCTTAATCGTATCAAATCAGAAATTGATCATGTTTCTTTTATAAGTTCTTATGATTAAAAACAAAATCATCGAAAGCTGGCTTATCACAATGAGATACTCTGTTTCTTACAATTCACTCTAGTCTCTGTAAGAAAAGGACTGTAATTCAGTGAGGCTCAAATAGCTTAAAGAAGAGGACCAGGCCAGCACTGGAGTTAGAAAGCAGTCACTTCTGGGGTTAAGAAAAAATCCAATATTTAGGCCATTTTTTTTCCAAACAGAAAATAGATGTTGCTATTTTTATTCAAAGTACAAAACTTAAAATCGCATGCCTACAATTTGGAATGTGTAAAGAGACTATGTGTAATTTTTGGGGGAGGTTTAAAACAATCTGGCATTTAGTGTTCTATTAGTATTTGAAGTTAAGATGTAATTGTACTTCTGGAATATGTTAACTTTCCAAATGATAAATTTGCTAATTTATACATTCAGGAACACCGAGGCCAAATACTCTGAGTCCTGGGCTCTTTTAGGCCATGAGATTGTTATGTAGAGTCTCAGGAACAAGAACAGAAATAGAACGTGGAGCAATGTTTGCATTTTTCCTGTTCTCTCTCTCTGGAGGACAGAAAGCCTGGCTTGGACCAGACACTGGCTGAACCCTTACACAGCCTCTGTCCCTTGTGGGCTTCTGAGGATGGCGTCAGCCACACTCTCTCATGACTCTGTAAGGCAGCAGTGCAGATGCTAAATGTGATGTCATGCGTTCTCACAAAATCTAAAACAGGTTCATACTGAAACAAAGGTAAAAGTAACAGTCAAGGAACTGGGGGTTGGGGGGTCAAGAGAGCCAGACATTAAACATGTAAAAGCTGGTTATCACACATATGGATTACCAGACTTTAGCAAATATAGGTTATGCTGTCCCTCCATTGGGGTAGTCCTGTTGAGTGACCTGGTCCCCAAAGGCTCCACGTCCCAACTTTCCATTCCACCCTTGGGGAAGCAGTTGACCTAGTAATGAGGACTATTTCCTTTTTATGTACTTTGCTCAGATATGGGCAAGATATTTCCAATCTCTTACATAAAGCCACTTTTCAAATTTAGAATGGTAAGACACCAGAATTTCTGAGCTATGGTACAACTTGTGGAAAATAATACACAGTTGTATTTTTTTTCTTCCCTTTTTTCTCCCCACCATCCTTCCCCCTCCCTATAAAGTACAAGGAAGATGATTTCTAATTCTGTCACATTCTTGCAGATCTAAGCTCAGGAGAAAATCATGAAAGATGCCAATTTTGACCCCATTCAGCTCATACTTAGTCCTAACTGTGTGAGTCTCCCACTAGATTATAAACCCTAAGACAGCATCCATGGCCTTGAGAACTTGCCAGTGGATTAACCATGTAGACGGCCCCTGCCTGGCACAGAAAAAAAATTTAATAGAGGACCAAGTAAATAAAATATATAAGCAGACTAACATATCAAAAAAGGCAACTTCCCCTAATGAACTCTGTTCATGAGGTATACCAACCTGTTAAAAATGAAATGTTGCTCATAGATTTTTTTTTTAAAACCAAACATTTTGTTTATAGAAGTATGCATGTGAATAAGGTTCACATTGAGGGCTCTTGGGATTAATTGTTTAATGATGATTTTCTGTTTTGACTCAGGGTAATTATGCTTCTAAATTCCCTAAATTTTTTGTTGTTGTTGATGTGATGTGTTACTCATTAAATTTTAACTCTATCACCTGAAGTTGTTTAAGTACTATAAACTAAAGTCATTTACTTTAGACTGAAGGACAGTATAATAGATGGTAATGTTATACTACAAACATTTATTTCAGATAATTTGAAAAAGTGCAAACACTACTTCCTAGCGCAGAAGCAAAGGTTATAAGTTCTGCTGAACTTATTCCACTTTGTGAGTGTATGCCTTGAGAAAAAAGAATCAAGATGATAAATGGGGGTGTGTGACATGGGGTTCTACCTCAAGACGAAGAGCTATGGGCAATCAGTGAATGCTGTGGGAGGGAGAGAGAATCAGTTTCCTCCAGGGACTAACTCCCTGAGACGTTATCTCATCCCTAAACACAGGTACACATGAGTACCACTAAATGGCCTTAGTGCATTGTGTGTGTTTTATGTGTGTGTGTGTGTGTGTGTGTGTGTGTGTGTGTGTGCAAAACAATAATAAAGAAGAGTGGGGAATTGGAGTTGGTGGTGGACTGGGAGGGATGTAAACAATGTGAAGGTAATACTCATGTATGAATTATGAATTCTCAAAAATAAAAAATAAAAATTACAAAGCATTTAAGGAGATAGTTTTTTAAAAAGATGATAAACCAGGTGTGGTGGCTCCACACATGGGAGGTGGAGCCAGGCAGATCTCTGTGAGATCCAGCCAGTCTGGTCTACAAAGCAAGTTCCAGGCTAGCTGGGGCTACAGGGAGACTCTGTCTCAAAAAGACCAAAAGAAAAAAAGATGATAAGTAGATGGCTTAATTGGAGCCCCAGAGCCTATATGAGAGTGTTATTCTTACTGTTCCAAGGTTCTCAGTTTTCCCATGTGGCAGAATTCTCTTCATCCTTATATAAAACGAGGTGAATTTATACAGAGACATCATTCTCTCTAGATAAAGATGTCCAATATATAATTTCTACAGGGTTAATTAAAATTACGCAAGCAATATGACTTTGAATTCTATGAAGACTGTTAAATTACCTATAGTTCATTTCTGGGAAGCTGCCTGAAAGAAACGGAATGCACTACTTTCCATGCCAGCATTTGGAAAACTACCAGCATGTTCAAACCATTTCCCCTATTTACTGTCTTTAAAAAATCTAAAAAGGGGCATTTCCTCTTTGAAAATGCTAAAGTTCTAAGAAAAACCATGGCCAGGATTTGGAAAGTGAAGAGAAGCCAAGGCAGTAAAGGTAGTTAGGACAGCCCTGGGTGAGACTAAATCTACCAAGTTCACTGGGAAAAAATGGAATTGGGACTCTAACTTATAACTCCCCCTTACTGAAAAAACAGGCTTCTTTTTTAAAGCACAGCTACTGTGTGTGAGTAGCACCTGCCATCTACAGCACTGTTAAATGCAACTCACATCCAGTAAGTCTGGAAGGCCACAATTTAGATAACCAATGTTCACATTTTTCGGTTAGGTTATCTTAATCCCTGCCCTGTTCCTTGACTATTAGCTTCCACTTTTGCTTCTGCATGAACACGTTTTAAATTATGGATGGTCTAATTAAGACGGTTTGAATTGATGCATGATATCCCATTTAACTTCAGAGTGTTGTGAGAACGTGTGGCTGATGCAGCTCTTGTGCAGAAGCAGTGAGTGGTTCAGGTAGATCTTCCTGTTCATCCTTGAACCCCCACCCCCACCCCCAGACTGCCATCAGAACCATTGGGCTCAGAAGCAGGGATGCTGATCTTTGGAGGTTTTTCAAAATACATTTGAATTTGGCAAATGTACAGGATTTTGTGGCTAAACAATGGCACGATATAGGACTTCTGAAATAAATGGACACACACCTCTAAATGGGATCTGTTTCTTTGCCTTGTGCTTGCTTTTTGGTGAAGTTCTGAACTGAGAAAGTTCCTATGATGATTTGTCAAAATGAACAGTTGGCACATGCCCTCCTCAAAGACCTCGGATTTATTAACATGATTGTAACATATGATGGTGTAGTTATTACTGAACACATAAAATTATCATAATCAACACCTGGCTTAGGAGTATGCAACTTAACAATGACAAAGCAAACAAATAATGGACAAAGCACTAACTACTAAAAATCTGCAAGAATTTATACATTAGGAAACATATTTAGAAACAAATATCTAATGGGCTGTCCCCTGCACTTTGCACTCTGCCAACTAGCCTAAGAGACGCTACGTAAGTTTGTTTTCTGCTCTTTTGTTAATACAATATGGGTGGACATACCCCAAATAGCGGATGCAATCTTAAATTAGCGACTTTACCTCAAATTTACCCTGTTCCATTTCACCCATTACTTTGGGGTGATCTGTTATAGCTTCCTAAGCAAACTGACCATGCTGAAGATGACGGCTATAGAACTACGGTCAACCCTTACATGCTAGGAAGAGACAAAGTGCCCAACTTAATAATATACACGGAATCTGAAAGATAGGATGGCACAGGATGGGAATTTCAGGACATATGAGCTCTAGTTGATTTTAAATTATTTCACTGAATCTGGAGAGAACAGTGGAAAGACAGTAAATGTCTGTTAATAAAAGTAGTTGGCATCTCTATTATCAAATAATTTTTAAAAATCTAAAATGTCAGAAGTGAATTAAAACCAAATATGTACTTTTCCTGTTCTATTATTTTCTCTCTTTTACTTTCATTTAGTGATGAAACAAAAATATTTTGATTCAATCTGGAAAGCAAAGATAACTGCAGAAAAACAAGTTAAGCCTCTTAGAATACATTTGAGAACTGCCCAGCCGTGGAAAAGCTCTTACGACTCACATAGGAGGGAGATGGGATTGTTGGACTTCTGCTGTCAATGATCATATTAAATCATACCGTCTTTACCACTGTTTCTGTCATAAGCTAGCCTCGAGGCTGAAAGGTTTGGTGCTTCTGAACTAAACTGTATTGCTACTACCAAGTGTCATGGTGACTGAAAACAGCATGTCCAGAGTCATTTCTGTTGGTGAGGAGTTCCCTGGGACATTACTAGGAAAAGTTTTCTGTGATAATGTTAATGTGGAAAGCAACAGGCTCACAGATACTATATTTGTGTTCTCTATGTGCTTTTTCCTCTCCCACAGGACATTCATACCTTTCAATTTCCAATGAGTTTACTTTGCATAAAGAAAGTATATTCTCCAACTCCTTAGATGCCAAATGTGGAAAGAAATTGTGTTCTCCTCTGTTGAGGGACACTGTATTCCTCTTTTCTTTCAGTAGTCCAACTAGTCCAAGGGCTTAGATAAAAACTGATTTAACCCACAGGCAGTTAAACAGGCCCCAGGATGGTATCTTACATATATTTTTTTTTCCTAGAGCTGGATCAGGAATGCTGGTGTGACAGGCTAAGGCAATTTTGGGTGACTAGTCAGAGGAGATTAGTCTAACAGTGGGCCAAAAGGAAGAAAGAAAATTTCTGAAATCATTGGAAAATAAAGCTTTATACCAAATATATAGTCCCATCCTTTCAAATGTCATGACCTGCTGCAGACCTGGAGGTAGACCTTCCTCCAGGGCTGCTGCAACGAGAGCTAGACCTGCCAACAATTCATGGAGAAAAAACATCAGGAAAACCAAGGTATGCCTAGCAAAGGGAAAAGAAACCATTCCCTCAGTGAACCCCTTGTGCATTTCCAGACGCCCCAGTCAATAATGGAACCAGTTCCCTACAATCACTTCAGAGAAGATTAAAACGGTGATGTCAGTGCTCTCGTGCAATCGCTTGTCATTTGTGCAAAATGTCCAAAGCATTGCACTTGGATGACATAGGGTATGCTTCAAATTAGCCAGGCTGCAAGTTCCTTTACTATAACGCTCTCTCTGTAATACTACGACATATACCAGATTCAAAAGGCCAATCCCTTCAGTCCATTGAAGGAACAGAGCGTCACACTGGTTCATACACTTAGAGTCATGTGGTGTTAGAATAGTGACTCAAGAGTTCTTTGGCTTGGGCAAGTTGGTCACATTAGAAAAAAAAGATAGGTCTTGGGAGCTAGCTTTGGAGTACTCTATATCAGCCCAGTTTATTCTTTTGATTAAAGAACTGAAAACGAAGTGAATTTTTAAAAACCTTCCCCTTCCTCTCCCGCCCCTCCCCCACCCAAATAGTACAGATGGCCAGAGCAGCAGTTGTGTGGTGGTTGATGGGGGCCCAGGCTTGGCATCAGCTTCATTTCTAGAAGACTGTAAAACCATCCCAAAATTTGGCACCATGGGGACTATTGGCAATTGGAACTCAGGCTAGCTAGGGAGTTTGGGCAGCCTCGGTGATGACTCCAAAGCTTTGGCTGTGCTAGTTAGGGAAGCTTCGCATGCAGACATCTCAAATCAGTTCAGCCTTCCTGGGCCTCTAGAGAAGGAGCAGCAACTGTGCCCAGGAGTATCAAGCTGCAGACGGACAGCAGGACCAGGACGCAGGTTAGGGAAAGAACCTTCTAGGAGGATGTGGAGAAGGGAACAGGGCACTCTGGTTGTCTATGTAACTATTCATCACACTGCTACTATTTTGCCTTATGTCTATCTTTAAAAAAGTCTACAAGCCATGGGGGGAAGGGAAGAGGTAAGAAAGGAATATGAGCTATAGACTCTATTTGGTTATAGTTAGAAATAAGTTATTTCTCCAAAGGAAAATTTACTAGACACTTGTGAACCTCAGTTAGAAACTTATATACCTATTGCATCAGTACAACTGGTTAAGAAACTTTGCTTGGTAATGAATACTAATTAACAAATTTGGTAGCTTTTTTTTTTGTCTTCACCAAAACATTATTATTCATTTTTGACAATAAAAATGATTGTGAATTTTAATTCCCCCTTACTACACATTTTTTTTGTGTTAAGCAAAGACAAAAAGGGAAGTGTACTATATGGACTGTAAATTCTGGACCTATAGTTAGATGGTGAGCTGTGGGGACCAGAGTCAGAAGGGCCTAAATCAACAAACTCGGCTAACCTCCTGTCTGTTCATTCCCTTTCTACCCAACCCACAATACATGCCTGTGTCTCTCAATAGGCCAGTGCTTAAATCTAACATGGTAGAAGGTATTGTTGCTCTAAAACATTCTATGGCTAAAAAGCAGTAACTAAGACTCTAATACTAATGTTGAAAATACAGTATACAAAAGTAAGCAAATCTCTTGAGAAACCATGATTAATTCTCAATGCAGTCAAAGAAAGGCAAGTTCCTGGAGGAGTCAAGACAAAGTTTGCAGTTCTCAGAAGTCCAAGTTTATCTTTAGTTTTGCAGAGTTATATCCAGGAAAGGGATTCAGCAAGCTCTGCAGTTGGACAGAGTGGGGATGGCCAGTGGGAAGGCCTCGATGGGCCATTAGGCAAAACAAGGCAGGCTCTGATTGTGAGTCTGCAAAAAAAATCTTGTTTGGCGGTTTGGGCTGGCTCAATCAGGCAAAAAGGACAACTAAGTATTTTCTATAATTAACTTACAAAATACAGAGGCTGGAAAAATGGGACTTTGGTGTTAGGGAGAGCAGCAATCCTGGCCCCCAAGTAACTCTGGGCCACTTATCTCTGTGAGTTCTTGCTTGAATTACCAACTAGCTTTGCTACCTGTGCACACAGGTCCCCCCTAGGAAACCTGCTGCTGTTTTCCCTCCAGGACAAGGGAGGCAGTTTGTGTTTGTCTGGGGAAAGCTACCAGGTATAAACAGAGATTTGCAACCAAAGATGAAAGGCCCTTCAAACCTTGGCAAGCACCATGTCCCAGGAGTTCACCGCCAAATGCCAATTTGTGATGGCTGGGAACACTGTTCCTGGGTGCAAGGGGCATATATACAATTCTAGGCTGCTGCTTCTCCAACCAGTGCTTGAAAGACTTGAAAGCTACTAAGCTGGGTTGTGGAAAAGCTGCACAGAAGCGGGCAGCTGGTGCGTGCTCAGGGTAGAAGTGGGCAGCTGGTGCATGCTCTGGGTGGTGTTCTCACTCCTTCCTCTCCCCATGCAGACAGTGATTTTCCAAGGGGGCTCTGAGCCTCATCCCAGCCTTACCCACCATTGAAGATGGCAGGATGTACAGCTCTGTGATTTGCTTTTCTTTTTTTCCATTTCCCTCTCCTATGGATTCTTGGTAAGGTAAGACAAAGACTCATGAAAGACTCATGTCTAGTAGTGGAGTCAGCAGCTGCCTTTTACTTATTGTAAGGTGTGAGCAAAAGGTAAGATTGTGCTCCATTAGGAGAGACATACAGGCTGGTTAGGTGTGTACCACGTCCATTTAACTAATAACAGGATGAGGAAGAAGAGGGGTGATTTCTGTTGTATTGGCAGCTGCCACTGACTTTCCATCCTCTCTGCATCCCTCAGTCTCCAAGAGCAGCCAATAAATAATAAAGCATCCCAATTCTGCTTCCAGGTGGCCAGAGTCCAGAATACACAGGCTCAGGAGGACAAAGCATTCCAGACCACACTGCCTCTAGGCAGAGGGCACTGCCAATACATCAGCCCCTGACTCACAGGTGATGCGCTGGCCTGCTTCCCGCGGGACAGGAAGCCTGGCCCGCCCACGGGTACAGTGAGGACACCAAGGCTGACGTCTGGAGGACTCTGAAAGAGATCTTGAATAGAACATTAAGAAGGAGAATACACGGCCTATCTGCCTTCCAACTCACATGGGATCTACAGCTACCTATTTATGTATTTTGGACATTGATGGGAGGTGGGGAAATTACGAAGAAACCATTTTCCAGCCTCTCAACTACATGGGCCAGGGCACCCTCTGTTTCGTACTCAGTAGAGACCCAAGGCCACCAGGGAGGGGGATTCTGTGTTGGGACTGATGATCCTAATGAAAACTCCCATACCTTTCATTACATTAAAAGAGACCAGTGTGTCAAAAGTCCTTTAGTCTGGGGCAGGTGAGACCCTAAAGGTTCACTGCTCTTCTGTTTTGCCACTATTCCTGAACTTCACCACCATGACTGTAATGTTATCAGGGCAGCCTCTGTAAAATGATTGTAAAACGATGCTTTTGGCCCCAAAGTGAGGTTCATCCAAGCGCTCTTTGATGAATCGAACTGCTTCTTCATTGCTGAAAGCATCCCACAGGCCATCTGATGCCAAGATCATGAACTCGGGCTGTAGCTTGTCCAGGTCAAAGGTCAGGATATCTGGGTCTGGGATGACCACATTGAGGTTTTTCAGTGGATAATCCCCCAGGGAACGTGACATAGCCAGGATTCCCTGGACCCTCCAGGAGCCATTGAAACTGATGAACCCACCTGGAAAGAGAAGGAGCCTGTTAGCTTACCCAGCTGGTCTCCCTCACACTTGGTAGTCTGGGGGTGTGTAGACGGGCTGGTCTGCTACATGTGAGCTGAGCCAGGGGCACTCTACCCCAGCCTTTACACTGTCAAGGACCAGCATCCTGCTGCGGGGCTTGGGGTAAAGCTTCAGGCCCTCATCCTTGGCACCACTAAGGCTTTTGAGACTATTAAAGGTAGAGAATGTGTGAGGGACAGAACATCAGTTTTAGCAACACACCATGGCAGCTCAGTGATTGACAGCATACAGCATCAGCATGGGGATTTGAGGAGAGGGGCAAAGGAATGCTGAAAGGCAGGGGGACAGTCAGGGAGACATTGCTAGAATAATCACTTAGCAAGGCCACTCTTGGATGCACCTATGTAGATCCCAAGTAGGATTAGGATTAAGGAAAATAACATTTTAGGTCTATTTAGTGACTCTGGATGAGAAATTCTCCCTCTCTTGATGCTTTATCTTCCTAGCTGCAGAATGAGCACAAATAATTGAACACAGTGCCTGAATATCACAGGCATTCAACGTTATCTACTGGGGATGGGGATGGGACAAGGTCTCTTGTAGGCCAGGCTGGTATTGAGCTCACTATGCAGCTGTGACTGTTCTTGAACTTCTGATCCCCCTGTCTTTACCTCCCATGTGCTGGGATTTCATGTACCACCATTCCTGACTTCTGTTTCTTTCCTTCTTTCTTTGCTTGCTTTTTTGAGACAGGATCTCCCTGCAGTCCTCACGGGCCTGGATCTTGCTATGTGGACTAGCCTGGTCTTGATCTCACAGAGATTTGCCTGCCTCTGCCTTCCAGGTACTAGGATTAAAGCCATGTGCCATCACATTTGGCCTGTTACATTTTCTTTAAAAGATCTAGAACTTTGTTCATTAATATATTTGTCAGATATTTATTAAATATCTACTCTGTAGAGGGGGATTTTCAGAATAAGAAGTTATACACGATCTAGACCTTTCTCTAGACAGTCTGAAGGAGAGCTAAGTCACACTTGTTAATGCTGCATGCATCAAGTATTATTCTTCCAGGGCAGATTAGGATCTGTTGGATATCAAGGCAGAGGGAGGACAGAGGAATAACTTGAGTGTGACCATCAAGGAGAATGAGCTTTAAAGGAATAGTGACAGGATCATCCAGGAAGTGTGGCTTGGTGGGCGGCAAAGGGCTCTGTAGTCACACACAGTCATGGTTTCAGTTCTGGTCTCATCATTCATTAGCTGTGTGTCCTTAAACACACATCCTCTCTGAGGTTCTAATTTATTAGTTGTAAAGTGATTATAGCAACATCAACTTCAGAAGGTGGATCAAAATGTTATGTACCTGGCATGGCTCCTAGCACAGAGTCAGCACAAATAAATAACAGTTGACACTGATGTCAGAAGCAGAGACAGATAGACCAACATGGACAGTATTTGGCTCAGACTGGCTAGAGCTTCTTGTTATTCTAGGCAGGCAGGGGAGAGATGTCCTGAGGTTGGGGTGAGAACATACAAATATGATAAAGCTAAATACCATTTCTTAAGCTACACTATAAAGCATATCCTTGATCACTTTGTATAAAAGGACAGTGTAGGACAGGTTAATCTTGGAGATGGTGTCCATTCTATAAGGAATCACTGCAGAATGGGGTGTGGGTGGCAGGTCTGACGGGGGGGGGGAGAGAATAACATGATAATGACATTTCATGCTGGATGCTAAGATGGAATTTCCAGGTATATTGTATGTCAGTTGACCCTTATTGGGAGATGGTATCTTTACAAAAGAAAAGAACAGTACAGTGTTTTACTCAACCTTTGTGGAACTGATCAAAGCTTGATGGATGCTCAGAAACCATTGTTTGTTCCATCTCATCAATATGAAAGCCCAACCAAAGCTTTCATTCAGAATTGTTCTGCATCACAGCAGGCAGTGAATCAAGGGACTGTAGTATAATTCAGCACTCTTTGACTCAGTGGTACAGCTTCCTGCTGTGAAGACTCAAATGTTCATTAGACTCACTTCATTTCCTCATTGGGCAGGAGCTGATCTATAGAGACAGACTCATTCTGTAGGTTAAAGCACCAGCAAGGGCCCAGGCTGGTCTGCTGCAGCAGCTGCTCAGATTCCTAACACCTTGCTAGACTGTCAATCTGGATAGTGAGACAGTTCTTGCCTTTCACAGGCATAAAGCAAACTCCCAAAACAAATTATTATTATTATTATTATTATTATTATTATTATTTTGGTCTTTTTGAGACAGGGTCTCCCTGTAGCCCCAGCTGTCCTGGAACTCACTATGTAGACCAGGCTGGCTTTGAACTCACAGAGATCCGCCTGCCTCTGCCTCCCGAGTGCTGAGATTAAAGGCGTGTGCCACCATGCCTGGCACATGGTCATGCAGTGCCCGCAGAGGTCAGAAGAGGGCATCAGATTCTCTGGAACTGGAGTTACAGATGGGTGTTAGCTGCCATGTGGGTACTGGGAACTGAACCTTGGTCCTCTGCAAGAGCAGTCAGTGCTCCTAACCACTGAGCCATCTCTCCAGCCCCCAATTATGTAAATTAATAACTAACTAATAATCCTCCTTAGAGTTTTGGTCTAAACATCACCTTAGTGAGTTAGGTGTGATGACCCATACCTATAATTAAAGGACTTGGGAGGTGGAGGTGGGAGGGTCAAGAGTTCAAGGCCAGCCTCAAAAATCTGGCAATAATAAATAAATAAATAAATAAATAAATAAATAAATAAATAAATACCATCTTAGTGATCTTACACAGACAACTCTGCTTAAAACTGCAGTTCCGAGGCACTCATTTCTTCTGGTTTATGTCTCTCCATGGCAGTTATCACCCTAGGATACTCTATATAACTCATCTTTTGTTGATGCCTATTTATTCTGTCCCCACTCTATGCCTATTTCAGAGTGCAGATTTCATGAGGGCTTTTTGTGGGGGGGATGAGGCATGTTGAATGGACCCTTACAACTAATTCTAAAATGTTTACTTAGGCTAGTCACTGTGTTAAATCCTGAGGTATGGAGATACAAAGAGCTCATAGTCAGGAAGCCAAGACAGACGAGAGTCATTCTCACACATGCATTTTAAAAGGAGACTCCAGAGGCTCACACAGGATGCTGGAAAAAAGACAGCAAGAGCATCCAACACAGACTGGGGAAGTCTTTGTTTGCTCCAGTGGGCCACGGGAAGCTTCCAACAGGACACCCAGAAGTTGAATCTTAAGGGACAAGTAATTTTCATTCACTAGGAAGTAGAAATAGCACTTTCAAAGGCACAAATGTATCAGAAACAAGGTTCACTGGGAATATTTAGGAGTTTGGAATGGCTGGAGGGGAGCAGAGTGAAGCAAAAGGGGTCCAACAACTGAACTAGACTTTAACTTGGAAAGGGACTTCTTAGGGCCTTTTGGAATCTTTGGCCATGAAAATGAAGCATCCACTAATGTGATATGAACCGTACAGTACAGGTATTTAGTCAGGTACGGCCATGCCATAGTGAGCCCAGGAACAGCTAGCATACTAAATGTTTTTCCCCCACGAACTTTCTAAGCAAGTGCCTTGTTCACCAAACTAGATGGCCAACTTCTTCAGAGGGGATCCCAAGCTCACCAGCTCTCTTTATCCTCTTTCTCTCCTTCAGTTGGTAAGGTTTGTGATCATGAGACAAGGGAATGGCATTTCCATCTTTGTCACAAAGGACGCCTCGAGAGTCACCCACATTGGCCACAGTGAGATCTTTATCTGATAGTAGAGCAATCAAACATGTTGTGCCTGCAAAACAGAAGAGACAGTGTAGGTGGGTGGCAGTGCACTGAGGTCCCCTTGTTTCTTTCGGTCATCAGACTCTTGTCATTAAAGCTGTTCCTGCTGGGTGAGAGTTTTACACCAGCTACTCTGGGAATGATCTAAGCTCACTTCAACATGGTTGATCAAATCTGACAGTCCATTTTCTTAACCATGTTACACGGTCACTGAGACAGGCTAAGAGAACAGTATCATTTTCCTAAATCACTTTGTTCCTGCTACTCTTAATTTTAAAACATCACATTTAAAAGGATTAGAAGAGAATCAAAATCAATTTGAAGCCCTAGACAATTGGTACCTATTTTCAGCTTCTCACTGGTGCTGAGTCTCTGAGAAGTTCCAAGTGTGAAAGGGTATAGGTTGGGGATGCGGTAGACTCCTGAGGTGGAGTCAGATGCCAAAAACTATAACCTGCAGCACTGTGACAGATCTGCTGGTGTCAGGAAAGGCCGAGACCACATACACAAAGTCTGATAGCAAAGACTGGTGGCTCGAAACAGGAAACACAGCCCCAGATATGATGGGGGACAGGCTATAAAAGTAGTGGGGACTGGATGTGCTCAGATCCTCTGCCTGCCTAAAGCCCACACAAGACACATAAGCACAAGCTCTCTTCAATCCCTTTTGAAGTGAAAACAGATAAAGTAAATGAAATTGAATAGTCTTTTACTTCTCTCTCTGCCTGTCACTGTCAACTAGCAAATAAATGCTGAAATGTACAATGCACAACTCATTTATTTCTTGTCTCAAATTGATAACTTTTAATTTGTTGAAAGTACTTATTAATTAGTCCTTTTAAAAATATTTCATTTATTATTTTTATTACATGTGTATGAATGTTTTGCCTGCATGTATGTAAATGTACCCTAGTTGTGCAATGTCCATGGAGGCCAGAAGAGGGTGTCAGATCCCCTAGAACTAGAGTTATGGATGGTTGTTAGCTGCCATGTGGGTGCTGGGAACCAAACTTAGCTGCCACGTGGGTGCTGGGTACCAAACTAACTAGCTTCCTAATTAGTGTTTCCTAACATTTCCCTTCCTTAGGGGCTAGAGAGATGGCTTAATGGTTAAGAGCATTGGCTACACTTGCCAAGAACCCAGATTTAGTTTCCAGTACCTATATGATGACTAACAATCATCCATAACTCTAGTTCTAGGAGATCTGACACCCTCTTCTGGCCTCCACAGGCACTGCATGCATGGTACACTCAAATACATACATATATAAGGTAAAACACTCATACATAAAGTAAAAAAATTTTAAAGATTAACATTTCCTTCTTCATTAAGAAAGTTATAGTCCATAGCAAACATATAAATTGTATATAAATAACTTTTTAGTCTTTGATAAAACAACAAAAGAACTGAGTCCTTAAATAGAGTAAACACAGGTTCCTGCGAGCAGTAGAATAGTTATAACAATTCATATATTGAGTTACAGCTGTTTGAAATTTCCTTACAAATTTTTAAAAATGTATTTTTGTGTGTGTGTGTGTGTGTGTTTGTCTATGTGGAGATGGGTGTGTATGTGCAAGCAGGTGCCTGCCACAGTGTGCATGTGGTGGTCAGAGTACAACTTTTGAGTGAGTTCTCTTCTTCTACCTTATTGAGGCAGGGTCACTGCTGTTTCTGCAGCTTTGTGTACTCCAGGCTGGCTGGCTCCAAGCTTCTGGCTGACTCTCCTGTCTCTGCCTCCCATTGTGCCATAGGAATTCTAGTATTACAGATGTGTGCCACCACATCTGGCTTTTTATGTGGGTTCTGGGGATGGAACTCGGATCATGAGTCTTGCCCAGGGAAGCATCTCCCCAGACCCTGAAATTCTATTCTTAAGACTACTTAATATGAAATTTACTTGATTAAAAATGGCAGCCCATGAAATATCGGTTAACTCAGTATTTCCAATATAAAGTCTTAGGAGGGAGGAAGGGACGGGGGGAGCGAAAAGGTGGGGAAGAGAGAAGGAGAATATGACTAAATACAACTAATCCTAATTCTAGGAGCTATCAAAGGAATGGTTAATCTGCTATAAACATACAAATAACTAGAAACCATGCCCCTGGTTTTTGATATTGGTTGCATTTGGTCTGCAACTATTTTTACTCTGTTCTAAGCATCTGCTTGGCTAAACCTGTCTAATACAATCAGAGAATAAAGGCTCCTATGAAGCACATTCTTAAGAGTTTGAAAGGTAAAACAGAAATATTGCATTAGTAGATGCTACATGAGACGCAGGTGCACATCATTAGAACTTACAGAGTCATGTCTCTGACCTTCTTCCCCTCTCTGTGTTCTATGGCTGGGGATATCCCCAGAATCAGCTTCCACAGCATTTAAGGCTAAGCCATTAGCCTAGTTGACACTTTGAGCTCCATCCCAGTTTTCTGGTAGGCATTTCCTTCTGCCTGTTTTGCAGGTATCCAGGCAAATGCTTTGGGCCTCCTTTGAGGGAAGGGAAGAGGTCTACCTGGCTGAGCTCTGGGGCTCTCTCCCACCCTCATTTAGGCCAGTGCAGTTCTATAGCTATCTGGCGGCTTATCGAACTATCAGGTAAGGAGAAAGAAGAGCCAACACTGCAGCTAGAAAGAAACCTGGAGATCTTATCTTACCTGTGATTAAGACTCACTAAAAGGGTTTCAGTAGGATAGTAACATAATGAGCACACCGTGTTGTGTAGTGCCCATGGAGGACAGAAGAGGGTGTTGGATCCCCTGGAACTGGAGCTACAGACAGTTGTTAGCTGCCATGTGGGTGCTGGGATGCGAACCCGGGTCTTCTGCTAGAACAGCCAGCACTCTCAATCTCTGAGCTATCTCTCTGGCCCATGGGCATGGATTTTAAAACCAGAATGGGTAGGTCATTGGTGAGGAAGGGAATAAGGAAGAAGGAGGAATGTCCAGAATAATTTCCTCATAGCTACACTGAGGAAACTAGGTGGTCCATGGACAAGTACTCAGAGGATGTTGACCAGGGCCTTCTGTGAAAAGCTTTTTCTTTACTAACAGACACAGAGCAGAAAAGGACCCATTTCTTTGGCTCTGTACTGGCCCATGAGTTTCACTGAATTGTGGAAGCTCTCTTGCAACTCTGAGGGGATACTCTCAGGGTCAGAGTAAGGAGTGAGGATGGCAAAGCACACAGGTAAAGAGTGCCTGAGAGGGAGCTGCTGAGCCATCATAACACTGTTGTGTTTTTGTTCTGTGTGACACAATAACGGTCTTTTCTGTTAGAGGCTCTTGAGGCTAGAGGCTTTTGGAGGGATTGTTGTAGCAGCAGAACTGACTGAAGGGCATATGTCCTATCAGTGCTTTACTGATGAGCTATTTCCAGTGTGGTTACTCTGCTGTACACACTGCTGGATTCACTTAGGATTTATAAACTGCCTTTGTCAAGCACACAATCGGGTTGTTTCTGTGAGTAAATTAAGATCGATCTCAAGGTGCAGATCTCAGTAAGGAACTTGCCTACATTAGCAAAGGAATCTCGGTACAGAGAATCTCCAGCTTAGCTAAAATGATTGTCCACAGGTGGCAGAAACAGGGTTACAGGCAGAGTTCTAGATAACTGGAATGTCTGCATTCTCGATACAAAAGAGAGAGAAAAAAAACCTGCCTATATCCCATGTAGGTCTGGAAAAATAATTTGTGCAAACAGTGCAACATGATCAGAAACAAGCCAGGAGATTTCACCATAAACAACGTATTGTTCGGACTTTGCAGTCTTAGCTCAGGATTGTAAAACACAGTTTTTAATCTAATCTTACTCAACAGAACAAGCTACTTTGAGGGTCTCCAGAAAAACACTGCCCAAGAGAAAATGCTTGAAATCACATTTTCTTCGGTGTACTTGAGAAAAATAACCTCAATATTCTGGTTACTAGTTTTGAGATAAATTGTTTTATTCCATCTTAGAACTACACATCAAAACATCAGAGCCTAATGGGATTCCTTAATTTTGAACCTCAGGATGAGTTCACACTAGCAACTTAATTTTCATTAAGAATTTAGTTGCCAGTTGGGAGGAGATCTTGGAAATTTAACATAATAACCTCACCTCACAGGTTAAAAAAAAATCTGGGGGCTGGAGAAATGTCTCAGCAGTCAAGAGCATTCACTGCTGTTGCAGAGGACCTGAGTTCAGTCAGCACTCACATTGGGTGGTTCACAACCACCTGTAACTCCAGTTCCAGGGGAGCCAATGCCCTCTACAGGCCTCCAGGGGCACCCATGTGCACAGTAACATGCAGACCTCCCTGAAACTGGATGAAGTGGTCCATACCTGTAATCTCAGCGATCAGGAGATAGAGGAATGAGGATCAGCAGTTCAAGGCCAGCCTGGGTTACAGGAGACCCCGTCTCAAAGAACAACAAAAGCTGGAAAAGTGAGTTTGCACAGACTAGACTTTGATGTCTTGGCTGAGTGAAGCCTGGTAAGCTGTCTGACCTTACACCACAGAAAATGGAGCTACAGTCCAGTCCGCTGCTCAAACCAGATGCCCAGTTGTCACCCTTGAATTTTCTCTGTTCCCCATTCAAGCCATTCAGTACATCACTAAGTGCTCTTTCCTCTAAAACACATTTCAAATGCTTTCAATTCTCTAGTTCCCACAGCAGAGACTGTGGTCCAGGCCCCTGTTACTCAGCCAGTAAGCTATGTCAGGGTCCAGGTGAGAAACAATAACTGCTGATCTGTGAGATATGGCCCTATCCCAACTGCTCAATATCACCTTCTCCCCTGTTCAAGGCCTCTCTTCTGTAGCTCAGACATGGCCAGGCCTTTTGTTGTCGGGGCCTTTTATACACTGGTCCCTCTCTGTTCTGCTGTGCTTGACACTGGCAATCTAAGACCTCTGCTCTTATCTGAGCTCACGAAGGATGTCTTCAAATTTATCTCCTCTTTATTTCTTTTACCGCCCTACAACACAGCACTATGTAGATACCTTGTTTATTTATTTAAAACACTGAATG